ACATTTTCACACCAATAACTGAAACACATCTAGACTTTATCTGGCTCCTCTCTTTTGCACATTCAAATATAAACAAACCTCGCAAATTATATTTATTCTCTCTTAACTTAAATAATTTCTGAATACCAGAAGGAAGACTTTTGTTCACTGCTTTATGCATTATTTTCAGTATTTTTATATAAACAATGTCTTTGAATTTTAATGTGTTGCTTTGAATGAAGAGTTTATCAGTTGGTTCACAGTATCTTCAGTTAATCTTAGAATTAGCTAAGTACAGCCTAAGAATAAGTCCTTTCAGGATAACTACGACACATTTAGTCATTTTCTTGTTAGTGCTGTTAGCTTTGCTATCAAAGTAACTCCATGTCCGGCTCCGCTCATGCTGCTCTTTGCAGTTGGAAGCCATAGCCCTGTTTGAGCTTCAGCGGAAGCTTGACTTTGTGCTGTGGGAATGAACACATACTGCTGTGCAGCTGCTCATGCATTGAAATGAAAACCTCCTTGCCTCTTTCAGTCCTCCTTCCTGTGTTACTGCCCTGCAAACCGCTCCCTGCTTTGCCATGATATCCTCACTCTTCCTGTTTTGCTGGCTCTTAGACCCCTCTGCTCTTCCCCAGAACGCTTTTTTCCCCTCATTAATGCATTCCCCTGTAACTCCACTCTCCATCAGAGCCACCCCAGCTGAGTGTAATGAGGGAACATGATTGTTGATGTCTTAATGAAGGCACTCTCCTGGAGTGTCAGCTTTCTGTGTCTGTGCTCCCACAGCACTCTGCTGTTACCACTGAGGCTGCTCCTGCGCCTGAACCTGCCATCATCAAGCCTGGATGCCAAATAAAGTGGTGCACCTCTAATAAAACGTTTAACTGAGTTAATCACAGAGCGTAATTAATTCATTAATCACAATTAATAGCATTTTAATTGAAAATCATGTGCTCTATAAATATAATTGCCTTAAACAATATATTAAAGGAATAGTACACCCAAAACATGATTAGCCTTCATTTTCTACTCACCCCCATGCTGAACAACACTTTG